GCCCCTTTGAATCTGATCAGTCAGAAACTCAGTGGCACACGAAAGACTTAGGATATTGCACTATAAGCTCACTGCATTGCAGTCCTCGCTTCTGCATCTTTTGCAGTCAAAATTTAAAGGGGATCTCCAGGGATCAGAGCTTTCACTGTTTCCCTTAGGAGATTATTACAAAATCTAATAGATCTAGCTTTCAAGGGAAATTTCCTTTGTATTTATCTTAAATTTTCTCTCTCTTAATTTAATTCCATTAGTCCCATCTACTGTATCCTCTTTTAATGTACAGTGCTAACAAGTCTTCTTTCTGCTTGGTGTTCAGATTAGAATCATAGACTCACTGAATATCCAGAGTTAGAAGGAACCCACAAGGATCATTGAGTCCAGCTCGTGGCTCCACACAAGTTATGTTCGCATAAAAAAGATAGTGATATCCCTTTCTCTTAATTGTCATTTAGTCAGTCTTCTTTGTTCCTCATAGTCTTCTGCCATTTTTACCTTTTAACATATTTTGCTTGCTCTTCACTAAACTTCCACCAGTTTCTCTGTTTATAAATGTACTTGGATAAAAAGTACAGTCAGGACAAGTGAAAGTTGGAGAATATGCATCACTGATTGAAAGCTAAACTCATTAGAAGAGCTTCTGTAATTACTCTATACCATCACCTATATTATATATATAATTATCCTATATATATAATTATCCTATACCTATCACCATTTTGACATACTAGTAGAAAAATGTTTTTTCTGTTGCTCTGGAGTTACTCTGTATTTATATAGCTTCAAACTGAATATATATTGGACAGAGCACAGGTTACTTGCCAGTTCACAGCACAAATGTTGTCAGAAGTCTGATAGTACTAATGAAGTATCTTAACTGTCTGTAGAACAAAGATGTTCCAGAACTGCTTTTTTCAATAGACAGTGACAGATATCTGCAAAAATGTTACAGAGATGATATATGTGAGTATAGTAGTTCTTCAGAATTAATCAACATGTTGTTTCATGTTGGTTCATGACTGTTGCCACAATGTCTAACTGCTATAATTAAAATTGCTAGATTCTCACTCAAAATATTACTTAAACATACAAATCCTTATTTTAGTACTATTGTTTTCTCAAAAAACGTAAATAATTACTTGGAAAATTTAAATTACAAACAATAAGATGTGAGGAGAGATTAGGATATGTTGGGAATACATTGTTGTTTTTTTTTTTTTTTTTTCAGAACAGAGAACAGTTAAATTTCATTAAAAAAAAACAAAACAAAACAACAACAAAAAAAAACGGAAGTCTGAAGGCGTTCAGAGACTAGTGTAGATCAGGAGATGCTGCTTTTTTCCCATTATGGTTCTGGAGCATTCATAGAATCACCAAGTTTGGAAAAGACCTCTGAGATCATCTAGTCCAACTGTCCATCTACCACCAATGTTTCCTCATTAAACCATGTTCCTTAGTACCACATCTAAACATTTCTTGAACACCTCCAGGGACAGTGACTCCACCACCACCTGGGCAGCCCATTCCAGTGCCTGACCACTCTTTGAGAGAAGAATTTTTTCCTACCATCCAACCTGAATCTCCTCTGGTGCAACTTGATGTCCTCTAGTCCTATTGCTAGTTACATGGGAGAAGAGGCCAACCTGCACCTTGCCACAACCTCCTTCTCAGTAAAGAGCTATAAGATCTCCCTTCATCCTCCTCTTCTCCAGACTAAATAATCCCAGCTCGCTGAGCTGCTCCTCATATGTCTAGTTCTCCAGATGCCTCACCGGCTTCATTGCCCTTCTCTGGACACTGCAGGGCTTCAATGTGTCTTTCTTGTAGTGAGGGGCCTGAAAGTGAACACAGTACTTGAGGTGCAGCCTCACAGAGTTGAGTACAGGGGGACAATCACCTTCTTTGCCCTTGCTGGCAACACTATTTCTGATAAAAGCCAGGATGCCATTTGCCTTCTTGGCTACCTGGTCAATAGGTTTCCTAAAACTCAGTGCTGAGCTTCATTCTGTGAAGGGTGAGCTCCTTTGCCTCCATGTAATCATTACGAGACAGCACTCCTGGAACTTAATAGTTGTCATTTCTAGAGTCTTTATTTACAGTTTCTAGCTTCAATAAAAAGATGTGGTTCTTGCCTCTCTTTTGTGCTAAATAAGAACAGTTGATATTTATATGTATTTGCATGGTGACTGTAGGAAATAAATGCAGAGAACTTCATAAGGTAATTTTGCTTGTTGCAGCTTGTAAACTGCATTATATATCCTTACTGCTATGGATGACATTAATGTGTTGTTTTAAAAGCAGCTGCCAGGCCATTGCCCATGCATTTTCCATAATGTATATGTGCTCATGTATGATATTTAGACTGCTCCATAGCTTCAAATGTGTCTGGAAAAATGGCTTTGATTAATTGACTTCCCTTTCCTTCTCCTTTCCCCTTCTCAGATGCAAGAGCTCAGTTCATTATCAGGGAAGATCAGAGAAGAGGAACAGAGTACCTAGGTCACACGCTGTTAGAGTTACAATTTTCCAAATACCCTATGTAAAAAGTAGGGAATGGGAAATATGTGGGATAGAAGAGGTCCTCTCTTTGAAGATCCTTCTACATTACAATTTTTTGGTCTGCTTTTGCTTTTAGCTGTGCAGATTTGTGTATATAGATAGATAGATAGATAGATTTACATATATATGTAATCTTATTACATTGTCAAATCTGTTTGCCTTTTTTATGAGTCACATTTTCAGTTAGGTGAGCATGAGGAACTGTGAGCACCGATGCACTCACTGAGGACTGTTCTTTCCAGGGTTCCTTGTCCACTTCTTCCTTTTGTTAGGAAATTTCCACTCATGAGAACTTACATGTATATCTATGCATGTAATTTTAAAGCTAAAACTCACACTTCAGTACATCAGCTGACAACATCCTTTGCTTTTGTTGGTATTTATACCTAAATAAATAGTTCACTCCTTTTGATGTGTACATACTGATAAGAGTTTATTTCTGCTAAATTTTATGTATGTTCACAGTATTTGTGGCACGCATAATTTATCCATAAAATCAGAATTTTGTACAAGTAGAATATTGTTAGTCAGAACCCAAAGTTTGGCTCCATCTTTATTCATCATATTTTACTTCTTCAGTTAACATTATTACTGGTTAATAGGTGCACCTGAAAATCAAGCTGTATTGTAGTATCTGGTGCGTTATGTTAAATGAATCTTTTATAGGACAACAAGTCTCTTCTTTTTCCTAATGAAAAAGAATACCTCATTTTTTCCAATTTTCCTATCAAACACATCCACATCATCTTGAGACACTACCACATCCAGCTGCATCAATACTCAGCTTCAATTATATGAAATTAGACAACCTACTCTCAGGTCCTTTAGGTTCCCTTTTGCTGTTTGAGACACATGCACAGTGCATTTCCTGTGAAGTGCATGATTACAAACTATTCAGTACAAGCCTGTTTTAAGTAAACAGTAAATTAAATATTGTCAGTGCTTGTTCAGACAGGCTCTTATGAAGGAAAAATAACTTCTAGGTTCAGGTTCATAAAACTCCCTAGATTTAAGAACAGGCCACTAATTTCAGGCATAATTTTTCCTTCTTAACTTCTTGACTCACCAGTTATTCAACAGCTGGTTCAAAACATTATTTTCAGATGCTTATACGTGAAAACTGGGATAGACAAAATGCTGAAGGTAGCAAAATTCTTGTTTATTACTCAATTTGAGTGGAAAATTCTCAAAAATATTCTGTCGCTAACTGTCAGGTAGACTGCTGCTTGAAAGACTGCTAAGGGTTTACTTGAGCGATGTTCCTCTTTCAACCATGACAAATACAGTGAAAAAACATCATTTTGTTACAGTTCTGGGTAAATTATTTTCTGTTATGCCAATCAATCTGACTACAGGAGTTAGGAAAGAAAAAATATGGTCACTTTCCTAAGAATTGAGGACTTTTGAGTATTTTGTAATATCTTCAGTACTAGAATACTTGGTAGTATTTGGAGAAATATAAATAGATTTATGAAATCCAGAAGCTACAAATCTGCACTCGCAAAGTCTACTTTAATCACTGCCAGTTAATTCATTCCCAAGAGAAAGCAAAAGTCTTTTCTTCCAAGGAGTCAAATATTGTTTTCATTCATTCTGTAGGCATTTCAAAGAGAACAAGGGTTGCATGTATGTGTTCAGGGCTGCGTGATTGATGATAAAATATAGCAAGAACTCCTTTCTTTATTGTATTTTATTTCTCTTTCTTTCATGCAAGTATGAGTGAGAAACTCTGCCAACTAATTCACGAATTATTCCAACTAAATTATCAGTGGTGTACAAAATGTCATAACATGGAGTAGATCATGTTTCCAGTTCATCTCTCTATTAACAGCTTTCAATACAATAAAAAGACACAAAATTGAACAACCAATAAAAATATTAGAGCAAAAAGGATGAAGAATACTTGCTTTACAAATTAAGAATGTAGAGATCTAAAGCAATCTGATTTGTTCTTTGAAAATGGGTTTGAGAGCTAATGCTGAAACAATAGATTAGTATGAGTGCACATAAGGCCAATATGTTCAATGTTGTAATTTTTTTTATAGTTTCATAAATAGTTCTATCAAGAACATTTCAAAGAAATCTGAAAAAAACAGAGCTCATATGTGATGGCATAAATTTAAAGTATTTTATAGAACACTGTTACTCCAGATATAGCCTACAGGTTGTGACTTTTCATAAAAGCTAATGAATTTCTAGATTTGTCAGCTGTTTCAGCACAGATGCACTTTGCTGATCAAATGGAAACATTTTGAGCCCAAATATTGAGATCCAAAATATCAATAGCTTTTAGTATTGCACATTAGTTGGCTATTGGGTAAACGGGGATGTGGTTTTTGATAAAAAGCAGAAGTAGTTTTGTATATGTGTTTTATGAAAACTGCCTTTTCAGTGTTTGATGCTGAGATTTTTTCCCTTTTTTTTTCTTCTTTTTTTTCTCCCAGAGTTTTAAGTTGAATGTTGATAGCCACTGTGCTTTAAAAGAAGCAGTGGTAGAGGAAGGACGTCAACTTCTTGAGCTTATTGTATCTCACAAATCAGGTAAATCCTTCTGAAATATTGCAAGTCTTTATATCTCCAGACTATTAAAGAATGAAGAAGCATTGCTGTAAATTACTGCATATATTCACTTCCTTATGTATTATTAATATTTGCATTATCAGATTGACCTTCAAGATTTATAAATGTTTCATATACTGCATACAATGCAGTGATACTTATAAAATGAAATACTGCCTCCAAATAGTCTGTTCATTTTATTTTGGTCTTGCTGCTCAGTTGAGTTTCAATTGAAATCACATCAGTGAGAACTTTACACTGACACATTCTTTGATGTAGAAGCAATGGCAATAACATTAAGATAATGAATTATGATTTCAAATATATGCATATATACTTTTACATACCCTGCATGGGTAATTGCATTGGTAAAACTTTATTTTGCCTCTTAAACTAATTCTTACATGATTTTAATATATTTATGAGGAATAGACTAAAATTAAAAATGCCTTTTTCCTTTGGTTAGGCTTGTCTGTCTTTTTCTGCAGAGGCCTTAAATTGAGGGGGGGGGGGGGGGGGGGGGGG